AAAAAAAATGGACTTTTCCTTTCTCTATCTCTCATAACTGGACAAAGTCATAATCCTGCTACTGTGACAAATTCAGAAACCCAAATAATTTATTTCTTATGACTCCAATAAGGGCTTCCCTAGTAGCCCAGATGGTAAAGAACCTGCCTGCAATGTGCAAGACTCTGGTTCAATCCTTGGGTGGGCAAGATGCCCTGGAGAAGAGAATGGCAGCCCACACCAGTATTCTTGCCTAGAGAATCCCAAGGACAGAGGAGCCTGGTGGCTACAGTCTAAGAGGTCGCAAAGAGTGTGACACAACTGAACAACTAACACACACACACAACTCCAATAAAAACTGAAAAAAAAAATCAGAGGTTTGCAAGCAGCACTGTAATTAATAACTGTAAATCATCCGAATTATGAAAATTCAAAAAAACTTTAACAGTAAATGATGTGTTTTTCCATTGCTTAGCATCCAAGTAAACAAATGGTTTGTAAATCTGCCTAACCTGGTAAAGGAAAAAACACCTCGTCCAATGTAAAAGAATATTTTTATATGAATGATTAAGGCAAACTGGAGATCATTTGAAATACAATTTCTCAAACATAACCACCACACATTCTTATAGAAAACAACTGACATAAGAATTTTTCTCTCATTCTAGCAATGAGCAATTATAGAAATGTGCAGTTCACCTACTTTCAAAAAAGTATTTAAAGTTAACTATTAGAAACAGATAAAACCCAAAACTATTCGACAAATATCTAGCTTTTTAAGCTAGATAACTAAGAAAACAGTTGTGATAGTTTCAGAAGGAAAATTATTTCTGATAACCTAGTCTGGGTTTATTAACTGAACACAGATCTTCATTTTGAATGTCATGTCAGTTGAAGTTAAGAGAAAAGCATACTGGCTCCCATTGGTTTACCTAATAAAATGAAGCACAACAGTCAGGAAATATAACTTTTTTCCAAATCTTCAAAAGGGCAGTGTCATGCAGGCCTTTTTGACAGAGAAATGGGAACATTATAACTGAAGGTAGTGTGCTGTAAAGTCATTCATCTAAGGACCCAAATAAGTAAAGCCTGGGTATGTCCTACTGCCATCAATATACCTGAGGAAAAGATAAAGAATGAGAGGAGAAGGCAATGGAATCCCACTCCAGTACTCCTGACTGGAAAATTCCATGGATGGAGGAGCCTGGTAGGCTGCTGTTCATGGGGTCGCTAAGAGTCAGACACGACTGAGCGACTTCACTTTCACTTGTCACTTTCACAAATTGGAGAAGGAAATGGCAGCCCACTCCAGTGTTCTTCCTGGAGAATCCTAGGGCCGGGGGAGCCTGGTGGGCTGACATCTGTGGGGTCGCCCAGGGTTGGACACGACTGAAGTGACTTAGCAGCAGCAGCAGTATTTACTAAAACGTGCTTCAGGGTACACAAATGTAAAACATATTAGTAGGTATAGAAAAAACAAAAGATAACCAATTCTGGGTTGGGAAACCCAGAATTAAAAGTCTCTTTACTGCAGGACTGCTCAGAGCCTTTAACAGAGTACATACAGTGGCAAACACCAAAAACACCACCTTCCTCCAACTTCTTTAACTTGAAGAACTTTTCTCCAAGAAGCACTTGAAGGGAAGCTTTACTCAGGGCACAGTTAAGAAAACATTAATACAGAGGTAAGACTAGTTCCTCAGACTATGCCACTTTAATAACTAAAGTCAACAGTATTTACTACTTTAACATTAATACTTTGGTTGTCAGGAAATTATATTTTAATTATAATACCTCTAAAGATAAAAAGCTTTTCCATTTTCCATCAGTTTTTCTTATCTTTATATTAAACTTGTAATCCAATGTGACATTATTTAATAATTGTTTATTCTCATCTTATGGTTCTTACGGTAAATTTTTAAAAGCAACTGAATCTACTTTGGGACTCTCCATTTATCCCATGATTTTATTTTCAGATTATTATTACATAAAGATAAATCTAATACACCATAGAGTTTTCACTACTAGAAATACCTTCCTACATTATATATAACTCTTTTTATATTACTGCATAACAACACTATACTAATTATTTTTCCTTCACAAGAAAAGGACAATTGGATCAGTCACCCAGTATCTAGAATTAGCCCTTCTTATCTGTCTGGAATGATGAGGCTAAAATAAATGTACAGAGACTTCCCTGGTGGTCCAAGGGCTAAGATTCCACTCTGCCAATGCAAGGGCCCGAGTTCAAGGTCAGGGAACTAGATCCCACGCACCCCAACTAAGACCTGGCAGAGTCAAATAAATAAATAAATAAATATTTAAAAATTTTTTTCAAATATAATAAAAATTTAAAAAATAAACATAGTTTATGAGCTGCAACCCTGAAGAAGAAACAATTTAGGCACCAGTAAAAAAATAGATGGGAATGACTGAGAGAGTTGCTTCTTACCTTTTCTACTTATTAATTTTCATCACAAGTAGATCTGGAGGGGAAGACACCAGAAGAGAATTTAAAGTGATATACAGTGGTGCAGTAGGAATTCAAAAAGATAGAGATTACAGGGATCTGATTAGCTTATCACCTTACAGGGACTTGGGAATACAGAGTTCTTGGTAGAATTCAAATTCTGTGTGCTGAGATTTATGTACACAATACTGCATACTACTTGGCTCTCTTATTAGCATATATAAATTAATAATATTTCAAGTCTACAGAGGTCTTTTTCTAACTATGATATAAAACACAAATCAAATACCGACCAGATTAAGTATGAACTGTTGCCCTTTAAAAGTTCCATCATTATTTTATTTCATGAAGGTATTATCAACTATGAAAATAAGTGGGTGGGAATGTGTAATTTGAAAATATTTGGTCAGAGAAAAAGCCCAGTATGACTAAAACAAGATGGCAAATGACTTCATCTTCTTTTGGAAAATGACCTCATAATGACAACTAGCTAACCAACTAGCTTCCAAAGCCACTAAGAGTAGCTTACAAAGTCACAGCTGTTACTTTTTCTAACAACTAGAAGTTGATTTCATTTTAAATGTCATTTCAAAAGAACTGAGTGATTTCTTCAAAGCACTACAACTCATGAGCAAGAATTATATTGAGACGAGGACAAAGATAAGTCTGTGACTTGTTCAATAAAGATGATTATAATGAATGACAGAACAATCCGTTAAAAAACACTTGACTGTGGCATTCTTGGACAACAAGCAAACATACTGAGGAGGACTATAAGTCATTCATGAATAAGACAGTAAACACAGAAAGTGCTTATTTTGACCTTTAAGCAACAGAAAAATAATTGGACAGATAAAAATTTTTTATAACTAGCTTATTTCGTAAGTAAAACAGATGAAGATTTGAATAATCTTTCTGGAAAAACTATTAAAATAATTCTTGAAATTTAAAACGTTCAGATCCCGAGTACAACTGTCACTAATTAAAATTCTGTGGAATTTGGTTTCTCAATTATTCAAAAGCCCGACCTGATGAAGCCCCTAATATGTCTGTAATCTCATCTTCTACCACTTGCCCACTCTGCCTCTACTCCGTCCATTCAGAGAGATGCAAATGACGGTAGGTGTGGGGAGAAACTCTGACTTAAATGTAGACCAAGGGAACAAACGCAAAGACTACCATCCTTAAACCAGCAGAAGATCCCAGGGTAATGTAAGCACAGTGCATGAAGTCTTTCAGCATCTAAACCTATCTACCTCTCAGTCTCATCGCCCACCAACCTTTCACATGTGTCAGTCAAGTGCCCAGTGGAGATCCTGCAGTTCCCTTAGCGGCTGTGCTCTGTCAAGCCTCTACAACTGCATATGAATTCCATCTAGACAGCGCATCTCTCGAGTTCCCGAACTTATCTCCCTGAAAGAAACCCCACAGTGACCACCTCGTGGGTCACAATTCTCTCTCTTATCTCAACCCTAGGACTCCAAGAGTCCTGAGACACAATCCAGCGCAATGTTTGACAGCACACAGACTTGGGGGCCAACTACCTGAGTTTGAATCTTTATCACAAACTGAACTAGATCCTGTAACATTCTGGCAAAGTCCTCATCTCTCTGTGTCATGGTTTGTTTATAGGTAAATATTGATAATGACAGCTTTCACCTAGGGTTGAGATGTAAATGAGTTAATGCATATAAAGCCTTAACGAGTATGGAGCCATGCAAGAAACACTTGAAGTGTTAGCTATAATTACTCTCTTAAAATTCAGTTTAAGCATCGCATCCAGCCCAACTGTTACCCCATGAAGCTAAGTCAAGTACCCCATCTCTGTCATCCTTATAATGCTTTGCTCATTCATGTATCAATACTACCTAATACACTTTAATGTAATTTATCCATATCTCCAGTACTGAGCACAATGACTACCACATACTGTAATCAGTACAATGAATGAATGAAAAAAAAAAATTAAGCAACAGAACATAAGGCACATGGTTTTAAAGATATGAAATACAGGAACAAGCAGGACTATAAAGCATGATTAGAGGATTTATACCCTGCACAAAAGCACCTGGCTAAGAGAGTAGGTACAGGCTGAACCACTAGGGGTGTATCCTTGTGCAAGGCAAAGAACACCAGAAGAAGAGAGTGGTGGTGGTTTTTTGTTTTTAATATAAAGATGTCATCTTCTTGTCAGTCTGTACAGTCAAGCGTTTTTAGCCCAGACTGGGACTCTTTCTAATTAATTTGCCCAAAAAGAACACATTTCCTAATTCACAGGAAGGATGAATGGACAAACAAAATATAGTATATACATAAAATGGAATTCAGCCTTTAAAAAAACAACTGTGAAACACATTACAACATGAATGAATCTTGAGGACACTACACTAAGGGAATAAGGCAGTCACAAAAGGGTAAATATTGTATGATTACACTTATATGAAGAACGGAGAACAGTCAGACTCATAGAGAAAACAGACGGTGGTTGCTGAGGGAGGGAGGAAGGAGAAGTTACTGTTTAACAGGTACTGAATTTCAATTTGAGAAGATGAAAAAGTTCTGGAGATGGATGACAGCAACAGTCAGACAACAATTCAAACGTACTTAAGACCACTGCACTATACACTTTAAAATGTTTAACATGGCAAAAATTATGTATATATAGAGAGAGACAAAGAAAGAGAGGTTTGCTACAATTCTTAACAGTTTATGAACATTAATAAAAACTTTTGCTGTGCTGAGAATGTTTATTTTCTTATATTATTTTTTGGTTAAATGACCAATGCATAACAGAGATGCATGTTTCTTTCATCAGAAAGAACAAAGTTATGACATACTAGTCACAAAGGACGGGGAGGGGGAGAGAGTTAGCATTTGTCACTATTTTTTTTTTCAATTTTTGAGTTTTTAATTGGAGGATAATAACTTTACAATATTGTGCTGGTTTCTGCCACACATCAACAAGAATCAGCCATAGATATACATTATGTCCCCTCCCTTTGACTTCCCACCCCATCCCACCACTCTAGGTTGTCACAGAGAACTGGATTTGGGCTCCCTGTGAACATTAAGGAAACTTAAGTCAAATTTTCTTATTTCCAAAATTAAACTACACCTTCCCAACTTAAACTGATTTATCCTATTACCTGTGGCAAATTTGCCACAAGTAATTAGTTATTGTTTGTGTCTCTTGTAACTTTTTAAAATTAACAAGCATTAATTTTGTACATTAGAATAATACACTATTCAGAGCTAGATATGCTGCACAAAGCTTTCCTATAATTTTATCTCTTTATGGCTGAGAAAGACTGTTACATCTGCCTTTAAAAGTTTCCAGATTAATATTACAATGGTCACACATTTATTATACAAAATTGCGGGGCCTCAAGTACTCGTTTCCTACTAGAATTGATGTAATACTATTTTCTAAAGAAAACCCCTGTGCGGCCATCAGGTCATTGAAGGCTCACCTCCCTTATCTGGCACATCTAACCTCTGCTCCTCAACCTTTATGCTATGATGTCAAATCTATTCCACTTTAACCTCAAGGTGCAAGTCACGACTTAACCAGAAACCAAGGCCTGAACCCTATATACCTTTCAGGAATCATCACTGAGATCTAAAAGTAACAATACCTATTGGTGCTCAGTTTCCTAGTCCTATGTGAGAGGTTCTCAGGTTTACTGATGGTTCAAACTGTAACAAGAGCTAAACTTATATGTTTTGGATGCATTTCACATACAAACCTAACTCCCAAACCCCATCCTCTTTTCCTACTTTATATTCCTTTTGCCTCTTTTTATTGCTCATTCTTAATGTAGTCTATCTTGCAAGGCTGTTTCCACTTTTAAAAGTCATTTTAAGTTCTTTTTGGAACAATCAAGGATATGAATGAATAATGCAGCTTTCATGAAAATATAATCTACAATCTGAGATCTGGTCCTGGCTCTGGGAATTACATACACAATGAGATTTGAGTCACTTAGCCTGAGGTGGAAAACATGGAGGATCTCACCAAATGTAATATTTTGCTCTTATGATGACTATGTACATTTTAAGAAAGTAATCTATGAAATACTACCTAATCATTGTGTGCATGCTAAGTCGCTTCAGTCGTGTCCGATTCCCTGCGACCCCATGGATTGTAGCCCACCAGGCTCCTCTGTCCATGCGATTCTCCAGGCAAGAATACTAGAGTGGGTTGCCATGCCCTCCTCCAGGGGATCTTCCCAACCAGGGATCAAACCACATCTCTTACGTCTCTTACATTGTTCGGTGGGTTCTTTACCACTAGCACTACCCAGGAAGCCCATCTAATCATTAGTGATATTATATCCAAAAGATATAACAATAATTTTATTGAGAAGTCAGATAATATATTAACATAGACATCTTAGAAAATATTTATGCATACTTACCTTATGCATGTAATTACCTTATATTTAGTTCCAAAAAAAGAGGTAACTATGAGGAAATACCCATCAGTAATACCCAAATTGTATTATGTGTGGTGAGTCTGACTGCTGAGGGGGAAATAACAACGAAATATACTTGCTGAAAAATTTTAAAGAAAAACTATACAAGTCAGTTGTTAACACCAGTACCAAGACTGAAAGTATGAATTTTTAACAGTAACAATTTCTTATTTAAATATTAAAATACAATTGTCTTTCTTTGGACAAATTCTATCTCAATTTTAAAATTATTTGGAAAGTAAGAAATACTCTTGTTTTCAATTGCAGACAAAAAGGAAGACAATGACTGAGCTAATATGACCTGTAACTGGCCCAGAAGGAGTGAGACAGACTGTCCACCAGGCACAGGCCATACTACATCTACAGCAGTGTAGGCAGTCCTGAACTGCAACTTCCGAGAACCAAAAGAACCCCTTCTAGAGAAGGACAGGACACTGAAGATTCCACAAAAAGGCAGGAGCAGGAAGTAGAATGAGAGAAAAGGCTCACATTAATTTTGCATGTATTCTCTCGGGTGCTGTTTTAAATAAAATTATCCAATAAACATCAACAAAAATACCGTGGTAGGTCTTACCTCTTTTGAAAGATAAGGATAAGGAAAAAACTAAGTTTCCAAAAACTTAATTCACTCAAAGCTGAAAAGTATGAAGAATTATACCAGACTTCAAGTCTATCCAATTCCAAACTCTCTGCATACTACTGATTCTAATGTTGAATCGTAACAGTGGCTAACACTGAGGGCTTATTCTACATACTAAAGCATCCCCCAGTATGATGTCACAAACTCCCACTGAGAAAGATGCCATGCTACTCCCAGTTGACAAATGAGGAACTAGAAGGTCAGGAAAATGAAGTACCCAGCATTTAGTCCCACAGACTTGCCCAAAAAGTCTTATTCAACCTCTACACTGCAAGCAAAAGAGAGAAACTACAAAGACTGGCCTTCAGAAAATAAAATCTAGAAGCGATATCAGAAACGCTTTCTGGTCTAAACTCCACCTAAAACATAACTCTTCTATACAGAATTCTAGTTAGCAAAGAAGGTGGATGGATCTGGGCTCCAATCTTAGACCCACTACCTATTGGCTGTATGAACTGGGTCAATTCTGGGCTTCTGCTTCCTCATTTGCAAAACGGGAGATAAAAAGAGAAGCTTCACAGCTGACAAAGGAATGATATAATGCATGAATGCCACATCTACTACGAGCTAAACATTATGTTAGAGGGTATTAAACTTTATCTCATTTTAGCCTTAAAATAATCTTTCCAGATGCAGTATCATCACTTTTAATGATTTCGGATAGCAACTCAGAGGTTATGTGGTTTATCCAAAGTCACAGTTATTAAGTGATAAGAAAAAAAATGTAAATGATACCCTTCAGAATTAAAAGATAATACAGCTTTCCTTATACCAATGGTATCACCAAGTAGAACAAAGAGTTCTCAAAATATTACTTGTTCTCTTAGAAGTCAATCTAAACCACAATTAGATTATCAATCTTATGTCCTTTCAGCAATCTAATAGTAATTCTGTACATACAGTATTTCACCAGACTCTCTAGATTCTTGACGATCAGCAAGTATCACTGATATGCAAATTCCTCTCAACTGCCAAGGAAAATTCACTATGATTCTCTCCCCTTGCCTATTCTTCCATGTAACAAACATCTGCAGTAAAAACAACATGGATAAAACTTTGGTGATACCAGAAACCACAAACTCACAGAAGGCAGTGAGAGAGGTAGGTGGCAATGGCAGCTTCTTTTGCTGCCATTACCAACTCCCAACTGCAAGACTGCGGATAAGTCACTTAGCATTCTCGTACTTCCTTCCATTTCTTTATCTCTTGTGGTGTTACTACTGAGGACCTACAATAGCACTGCAGCCCTGTGCTAACTGGCTTACACACATTATCTAATCACATTCTTAACAAAAGTCCAAGGGTAGAGGAACTACCTTGAGAGTCCCTTGGAGTGCAAGATCATCAAAACAGTCAATCCTAGAAGAAATCAGTCCTGATTATTCGTTGGAAGGACATGCTAAAGCTGAAGCTCCAATACTTTGGCCACCTGACGAGAAGAACCAACTCACTGGGAAGACCCTGATGCTGGGAAAGATTGAGGGCAGGAGGAGAAGGGGACAACAGAGGATGAGATGGTTGAATGGCATCACCACTCGATGGACATGAGTTTGAGCAAGCTCCGGGAGCTGGTGATGGATAGGGAAGCCTGGCATGCCACAGTCCATGGGGTCGCAAAGAATCAGACACGACTGAGCAACTGAACTGAATTGAGAGGAAGGGCTTCCCTGGTGGCTCAGAGGTTAAAGCGTCTGCCTGCAATGAGGGAGACCTGGATTCGATCCTTGGTGGGAAAGATCCCCTAGAGAAGAAAATGGCAACCCACTCCAGTATTCTTGCCTGGAGAATCCCATGGACAAAGGAGCCTGGTGGGCTACAGTCCACGGGGTTGCAAAGAGTTGGACACGACTGAGAGACTTCACTTTCACTCTTAACCCTATCTTATAGATGAAAACAGTGAGGCTGAGGTTTATCAACCTAAATCACACCATCCTAAAGCTACCCTGGTTTTTAAAAATCTAAAGATACGTTCATAAATATTCTACATAGAGTCTCTTTAGCTGCAGCAGGAAAAGGCCTTTTTGCTATTCAAGCACAGGAACTTTTGCTTTTATTACTAAAAATATAAAAGACAGTCTTACTTTCTATCACCTTCATAACACTTCTCCCTTAAATTATTAATGGTATGTATAATTTTAAAATTTCAACATCTACTTCCCTGTGTAGCTCATCACCTAGAGAAGACCCAGCACATCCAGACATCCCATACATAACTGAATGAGTGACTCAGCATAATTTACTTAACCGGTTCCTTGTATTAGGCACTTTACAAATATTATCTAATTTAATTTTCACACTATTCATAAAATGATTATGCCCACTGTAGAGATGAAGAAGAAACTTTCAGAGGTTGAATCACAGAGTTGATCATCAGCAGAGCTGGGGCTAGAACATAGTTTTGACAAAGTCCAGAGAGGTTAGCTTTCTCTAGCCTCATGCGGTTCTCACTCTGAAGTTCACTAACCAGTTTTACAGAAAGGTAGGGTTTGTGAAAACTTGGGGGATGACCAGGACTTGAGAAAGTGGAGACAAAGAAGCCAACGGAATAAAAAGAAGCACAGACAGTGAGAAACAACTTCAGGATATAATGTTTAGTGCTGTTACTTAAAACAAGCATGTAACCTAA